AACGGTCCAGAGACCCAACAAATCGTTACAAAGCAATACACAATTCAGACAGCCTCTGATTTTCCCGGGAAAGGCACCAGCAAAGGTAGTAGGATTGCCAGATCAGCTAACTAAGGCCACATTCACTCAGTATATTTCGAGCACTAAGATGCCACTTCAAACAGTTATGGCTTCCCCCAAATAATTCTGGTAACTGTAGTTTGTTAAGGGTGCTGAAAGATGTTGGGAGACCCCTATTCCCCCTCAACGAGCTACAATTCCCAGTTCCCTGGGAAGAGGAGTTGTTAAACCACTCTGCGAATCGTAGCTCTTGAAGCGGTATCATGGTGCTCTAAATGAATGGAGTGAAAGTGGCCTAAAAAAACATGTGCTGTACAAACTAAAGCTAACTGGAGGCTATAATCAAGTATGGCCTATTGATTAAAATATTCAGAGCAGATGTCCTTTAAGGCAGCCTTTCCCAACCTGGTGTCCTCCAGATGGACTACAACTCCCATCAGTCCCAACCATTATGGTCAGAGATGATGGAAGCTGTAGTCCAAAACATCTGGAGGGCAGATGTTTAAGGAACCCTGTTTTGAGGCAACACCCCATGGATTAATCCTCACCACCTAGACAATTCGATGTAAAAGTGATGTGCATTCTCCTAGTGTAAAGACTTTGGGCCTATCCACACCACTTGAAATGCAAGCAAATGGAGGCTGTCCCATGTGTCACTTGGGTCTCATGACTTTTCATAGACCTTGTTTCTGTCTTTCTTCTCCTCCTCCTTTTGTAGTTTGCATGATGACTATTACTGATTTGTGTGGCTGGCCACTTCTCATGAAACATTTCCTATCTAAGTTTTCCAAGGAGATGACATGCTGTAGCTTGTTGCCACGAGCTGGACCTTAGCGTGGGTAGTGTGTCCCTCAAAAGCCAGTGATGCCGAGCCACGGTGTGTAAAAGTCTACAAGTGTCTACAAGTTATCCCACCCGAGAAATACAAAGAGTTAACTTCCTGGTGCTAGGCAAAAATAAAGAGCTTGTTTTTGTTAATAGGTGCTTGTCTTACCTCATCCTTCTTGGAAATGCTGTCTCCATGCAAAGCCTGCAGCTTTCTAAAGTACACCGAGTCCAGCTGTCGAGTTTCTTCCACCAGCTCCACCTAATAAAAATAATATCTTATGTCATCCACACAGTACACATTATAGAAAGGAAGATGAAGGGGTTGGAGAGGCAGCCTGCCAGTGACAGTGGGTAGAAAAGAACCACATTTGCCAAGAACAAGACAGATGTTTAGGAGGCATATCTCTGGAAGTTGCATCCTCTGGAGCAGATGGTTCAAGGAGAGGATTCGCTGAAACAGCGGTGCTGATGCTTCTCCCTTGGGGGTGAATGCACCAGCGAAAAAGGAAGCATGATAAAGTTGTTGCGAGCTTTGTGCAAGGACTGGTTTTTAAAATTTTATTTTAAAAATGCATTCAGAAGGAAAACAAACCAATTTTATTTAAACTCATCCAGGATACTGTTTTAACTTTCAGATAAATATCAAATACATATATGTACAGAGGAGTTATCTTGATGCTGGAGGCACAGAGAACTCCACTCCTTTTAACAGCGAGCTCAGGCAGCTGGTGCTGCTAGGATTATAGCCAAAACAGGAAACTAGGAAAGCAAAAGTAGGTATTAGCATCCTTGGGGAAACCCTGAGATTTGCAAAATACCCAGAATGATAACAAAAACAAACAAAGGGGGCAAAAAAATCTAAAATGCAGCCCAACATGGACTGAGCACGCTCAGAAGCAACAAGTCCCACCTGTGATGACCGAACATTCAAGCAGCTGTTATTATATAATAAAAACTGGACAGTGTAGCATCCTGTTAGCCACGCTGACCTGGATTTCCTTCTTTCTTTAATAATGTTTTTATTTCATAGAATCATAGAATCATAGAGTTGGAAGAGACCACAAGGGCCATCGAGTCCAACCCCCTGCCAAGCAGGAAACACCATCAGAGCACTCCTGACATATGGTTGTCAAGCCTCTGCTTAAAGACCTCCAAAGAAGGAGACTCCACCACACTCCTTGGCAGCAAATTCCACTGTCGAACAGCTCTTACTGTCAGGAAGTTCTTCCTAATGTTTAGGTGGAATCTTCTTTCTTGTAGTTTGGATCCATTGCTCCATGTCCACTTCTCTGGAGCAGCATAAAACAACCTTTCTCCCTCCTCTATGTGACATCCTTTTATATATTTGAACATGGCTATCATATCACCCCTTAACCTCCTCTTCTCCAGGCTAAACATGCCCAGCTCCCTTAGCCGTTCCTCATAAGGCATCGTTTCCAGGCCTTTGACCATTTTGGTTGCCCTCCTCTGGACACGTTCCAGTTTGTCAGTGTCCTTCTTGAACTGTGGTGCCCAGAACTGGACACAGTACTCCAGGTGAGGTCTGACCAGAGCAGAATACAGTGGCACTATTACTTCCCTTGATCTAGATGCTTTTTGTTCTTCATGGTACAAAAGATACATTTTAGAAAACAATTATTAAACCAATAAACAGCGAACTACTTGTCCCGATAGAACTAGAGATTTTTGTCATGCTATGTAATAAAGTTTCACTTTATTACTCTAAAATATCACGCTAGATCTGGATGTCTTGTCTTGGAGAATTTTGTCTAGCCCTCTCTGTGTACAATTGGGAAGGGCGTGATGACCATTCTCTCCCGGACAAACAACAACATCTATGACCCACAGGGCATCAACATTACAGGCAAGGGATCCGAGGCAAGAAGATGAACAGGCTTAAGGTTAAATCCTATTTTATTAGTTGCTTAGAGCCCTCAAAAAGCCAATGAACACCCAGTATGCTAGAAAATACCAGGGTTTTAAGGGCACAGACAATAAATTAAGAGTTGGTACTCAATTAGGGGGAAAAAGAGGATGAAGTTCTATTAATTATTTTGTAGCTTAAGGGTTGCTAGCCTCCTTACACAAGCCAACAACCAGTTCAACACTGCATGACTCCAAAGGCAGGGATTTCAGATGCAACAGTTTAGCAATTCAAACAAAAGGGGCCAATGAGGAGTTAAAAACAATACCACTTCTTTCTCACTTCGTATCATATATCCTTAAATTACCTGACCATAAGTTTTTCTGTCTTGTTCTACCATCTTCATCCATGGATCTAAAAGAAGGATGAGGATGTATTCTTCTGCTGAGTCGAAGAGATCCTCAAATGGTGGCTCAATTTTCTGGTAAATCTCATTTTTTGTGATCTGTTGTAGTCCAATATCCATGCTAGCAGAAGGAGCAATGTAATTGGCATAAAGAAACTGTGTTAAGTGGAAAGAGAAGCAAACAGTTAGATGGCCACCCTAACAGACACAATAAATTCATTTGTCTAACTGCTTTGAGGTTGTTGTTGTTTTTAAATAATCAAGTGGTGTATACATTTTGTGAAATAAAAAAGGGGGAAATATTAAAAAAACATATTTGTAATTTGTGTTTTCTGCAACATTAGCTCTCGTTTCCTATTCTCATTCTGCTATTAATTATTCCAAAATTCAGTAACTGCTGTCAGTTGTTATGCTGTTTATCAAAAATATTTGGTTTTCTCTCCAAGTTTGTTAAAACTGCTAGAAATGGAAGATCTGTGAAGGGGAAACTACCGGTCCCCAGGATACTCTGTGGTAAGTCATGTGCTTTAAATGTGCATTGAATATGCTTTAAATGTACAATGTGGATTTGCTCTTTTGTGATACACACTATTTTAGCACAACACAGGAACTCTGCAGTTTAAACACTAAAAGATTTGTTTTAACAAATTAAAACTAAGTAGAGCTAACAGAAAGCAAAATGGAATGATATATCCCACCTCTTATTGTGTTCTGCCTGGTTGCAAAATAAAATGCAATTTTCAGATACACAACAATACTACCAAAACTTGGAAACTTCATGGAAAACTAATGCTACAGTTACATCAAATTTTAATATGATCTACACTGTTCAAATGTAAAAAAAGCTACATTAGCAAAGAACAGAAAAAGATTTTAAACAATGCAACATCTATAAACGTTTTTCTTAGAAGGGGATTAGCTATTTTATTCAGACTGATCTGGCTAAATTGATTGCCCTCCTATGACTCATAAATTAACACATAGGAGCTGAGAATAGGAAAGGATGAAAGAAAGAAAGTAAGTTTTCCTTGCCTCGCTGGAAATGTTCTCTCACCAATGTGTGCGTTTTTAGAAGCTCAAATGTCATCTTTTTGTTTTACTCATTGGAAAAGTGGTGGAAGCTGTGTGTCCATTATTTACAAAGCCATTCTGCAGGCATTCATGTGCACTGTACAGAACAGTAATCCTTACATTTTGTTACGTTACGAACATTACCTTTTGCATAGCAGTTGATACAAATAAGGCTTGCTTGAAAAGCTTAAATTTAGAGGGCTTTTAGGCTCTTGCTGGGACGGCTGGGTTGGGATTCAGTTGCACTCCAGAAAATTCAGGTTGCCCAATTAACACTGAATTGGAGCGCTTGCGCCACAAACCTACTTCCCCCAAATATTATACTTTTTCCAATAAGTAAAGTGAGGGGAATCATAGAATCACAGAATTGTGGGATTGCAAGGTACCCTGAGGGTCATCTAGTCCAACCCCCTGCAATGCAAGAATCTCAACTAAAGCATCCATGACAGTTGGCCATCCAACTCTTGCTTAAAAACCTCCAATGAAGGGGACTCCACCACTGGAAAGTTTGGGGTAGCATTCGTTAGGCACAACATCATCCAACACTCCCACAAACAAATCAGAATGAATGCTCAATAAATAGCTGGCCTCATCTGATCTCCCTGGAAACAAATCAATAAGCATGTTCAATAAACTGGCCATTTGGAAGCGACCCATATTCGTACTTCATTCTGATGCAGAAAAACATAGGGACATGGGAAGCTGCCTTATACCAAGCAGATACTTAGCAGGTCTCCAATGATTCAAAGAAGGGTCCCGCTCTGCTCTACTTGGAGATGCCAGGGATTGAACTTGGGACTTTCTGCATGCAAAGCCCATGTTCTACCACTGAGCCACAGCTCTTCCTGAAAGGCTTGTCTGACAAATGTCTGAGTGGCACAAACATAGGAATCAGCTTTACTCAATGTCAGATCACTATCTAGTTCAGTACTGTTTATACTGACTGGAAAATGACAGTATGTAGGGCAGGGCTGGGGAACCTGTGACCCTCCAGATCATGTTGGCCTCCAACCCCTATTAGCAACAGACCAATGGTCAGGAATGATAGCAGTTGTAGTCCATCAACATCTGGAGGGCCAAATGGTCTCCCAGCCTGTTTTAAGGGATCATCGTCATCATTAGCATCCCACTTTTCTGTTAAAAGCAGAAGCGATTAAAACAGTACCGTCAAAGCCATACAAAACAAAAATCAACCTATGCATAAAAGGTGGTATGCCTCTCCATCGCTTCCCCTGGTATACACATTCATTTCTGTGGTCCCACAGACATCTATGGTCCAACAAGAGTTGCAGCACCACACAAAGCCAGAGGTGATCACGGGATACAATATGAAGTAATATGGTTACTTCAGGTAACCATATTTCTACCACACAACTTTCAATTTCAACTCACACAAAAAAAAATCCATGTAGTTTATCTCCAGTTTGATAATGCAGCCTTTTTCTGGTGCAAACCTACGTTTGAACATATGATGGCAACAATTGCCAATGTTGTTCTCACTCTCATTGGTGAAGATTCTCCTTTAAAGATCACTTTATTTCCCACTCCATCTGTGCTTTCCAGACTTTTTCTGGGGTAGTCAAACTTCTAAATGCCCCTTATACATAATAGGGCTCTGAACAATTAGAGTATGATACCGTCCATTACATGGGGGAAAATGTTTTAATGGGGTATCTATAAACACCTGAAAAGTTCAGAGAAAAGTCACAGTACATATAACAGCATATCAGACTTCATTTATTCAGTGATTTTTTTTCTTCAGTAAAAAGAAGAATGCCTTTCCTTATATTGCCTCTATATAATTTCTCAATAATATAAAAGCAAATTCCAGATGTGGACTGTGTTCAGTGTTTGCATCTTTACACTATTTATAAAGATAAAATCTGGAGGCAGTAAATTTATCCAGCACCTCCCTCTATTCCCAAATCAGGTCAGCATTCAGGTATAAAACCCTGACCCCAGGAAAGTAAATTGGGCATTGTCTTGGCTTAGTACAGACAAAACTTGTCCTCAAGTCTTTATTTCTAAACTCCCAAGTATCCTGGTTGAACCAGAATTAAGTATTAAATCCCTTTGAAGTAAATGAGAAAGTTAAGCATGTAATATAATGAAATGTCCAAAAGTTAGGAGATATATTCGCGAGCACACACACACACACAATTCAAGTTGTCAACATTGTTTTCAAGCAATTTAATTTCTGTACATAAAACAGTGATAGCTCTTTTCATCTAAAATTGTCCCTGGCATAACAGCAGCATATTTCCTATAACAGCATTACATTTTTCTACCTCTAAATAGCATTTCTTCCTCCGGCCCCAAGCAGATTTCCACATGTGTTTGTCGTTTTCCTTTTCCAATTCATTTTACACTTTACTATATGTACTTTTAGCAAAATAACCACAGTGCATTCCATTCGCTGTGCATACAGTGGCGCGCGCGCACACACACACACACACACACACTAAACCCCCTGGAATGCACTGTCGTTTCTTTAATATATCACAAAGCCTGAACAGAAATAATCAAAGAAATTATAAATGCTTTTTATATTTTTTAAAAATCAAATTTAGTGCTTATTTTCAGTGGCATAACAAGCACACCCACCTAGCACATATGAAAGGCTTTGGGCACAGTTCATGCAGAAGTTGTCCTATGCAGGCCTTGAAGGAAGGAATGAGTTTTACAATGTCAAGCCCTGTGAAGCATTCAATTCGCTTGTACAAGAAAATCAATCCCATTCATAGGGCTCAAGGAAAGTTACAGCACCAAAGCATCCATTTAACAATAGGATAAAACCTTGTGCCCAATTATAAACAAAAAACCCTGACCACCAAAAGCCAAACCAAATAGAAAGTCTTTAATGCTTTCCGTGGAGGTGTGTGAGATAGGGCTTATGGCAGGGGCAGTCAATATAGTACCCTTCATGATGCTGGAATCCAGCTCCCATCAGACCCAGCCAACATGGCCAGTTGCAGAAAAAGCAGCCGTTGTCATCCTTAACATGTGGAGGGCACCAGGCTGATTCTCCTTGTTCTATAGTGGGGTGGAGTGGGGAATTGATCCAGCCAGTGGGCCAGATCCCTTTTGGCTCTGACATAAGTGGGTAAGTTCGCCCACCTGTCAAGCACGATGGCATAATGACATCAGGAGACAGTTTCCAAGGAGCAATGTCAGTCCCAATCAGACAACATATTCAAAAGGGCTTGCTATAACCACCAATCAGCTGAATCCAAACCACACCGACAAATTGCCATTTTCCCTCTGTAGGCAAATGCCATTCCATTTCTACATTTCTTTAAAATGTATTAAAATACATAATTAAACACTTTTAAAAATAAGCATTTAAATGTGGATTTGGTCTCAAGGCATGTATTTACATGCGTGGTTTGATACCTTTAAGCTACTGCAAATTATTTTGCCACTTTCAGAGAAGTGCAAAAACCGATGGATTAGCTAAGTTTCATTCCACACATGAGGTGTGGATCAGATTGTTTTGCACAGGCATTCACAGATAATCAAGTTCCTCAAACATCCCTTTTTGAGTGGCATAATGCCTAAAAATCTGGATCGGCCTCTGTGTTGTTGCCTAGCAGGGCTACCTTTCTTGCAAACATCCTCTGAACACTCAAACATGACTAGCTTTATTGACGTACAGCAGACAGGGAGCCCTGCTTACTCCTAGGCTCAGACTGGCTTCCTTCTCCCACTCATATCTACAGGAAGTTCTGTCCTCATGTACTTCACCTTGACCCAGAACTAGTTATATACATAGCCTCCAGGTTGGCATGCTTTGCCCCAGCACTTCTTGCTTTTCATAGTCAATATTGTTTGGCTTCAGTGGGCTCTTTCAGATATCACTATTAACATAGCTTTTTGGAGCTTTTGGTTATTTCATTTTACAATATTTTGATACAGGTTATATTTTAAAATTTTAAAGTGGTGTACAGAGACAACAAACGCCTAAAATAAAAGCACTGTGGAACTATAATGCACGATTCACAAAAATGTAAAATTCACAGTGACCACAGTAACTGCCAATATAGCCAAGAAAAGCCTGGATAAACACATAGGTTTTCAGCGTGCACTAGAAGCACAGCAGAGTCAGTGCATACCTTTTATCTGTGCCTTATTTATTTACTTTTTGCTATGCTGGTTTTTATATTAATTGTAATTATTGTATTGTGATATCTTTATTGATTGTTGTTAGCTGTTGGCAGTACGTGGAAAAATAAAATAAAAATAAAAATAATTTAAGTCAGTCTCTTAAGATATCTCCAGAGCACAAGTCACATAATTTGTTCTAGTTTACAGCTTTCAAACTAAAATAATAACAAACAGGATTGTGCATACTCTCCATTAAATATATACCAACTACACCAAGGTAACCCAAATTCTATGCCAATTTGAGCTGGTATACATATATTTTATGTGAATTGGGCTACTTTGCATGCATTTGGTTAGTTTGTACAATTTATTCTGCTTCTGCTTTTCAAGGGGAGGGCTAAGAAGCTTGCAGAACATTGAAGCCCACTTCTGATAACCATTTTCAAGCTTATCTTTGAACAGAGTTGAGGTAGAAACTTGCTCAGCGAAGTGGGAATTCTCAAGACTGATGAATTCTGCCTCCAGTGTCATTTACTGTATCATCAGAAAACTGCGGAATACACATAGCACTGAGCAGTAATAAATGTTTGAAATAGAAGCAAAGAGAACACAACATGCTTTTCAAATCTCCCCTCATCTGTTCATGGGCATAATCAGAATAAGCATATTAATTTCCATGCCAATGGTGAGGGCAGAGTTTGGAAAAGCACAGTGACCAAAAGCAGCCTCTTTTCTTGATTGGATGCAGCTTGAGACTCATCTGCGTTCCAATCGCGTTATTTATATATATATATATATATATATGATCATGCTGCCATAAAAAGCAAACTCAAGAATGATACCAAATGTTGCCGCACATGTGTTGATTTGCTATGTTACATTTGGGTTGTTAGTTATGCTAATGGAACAGTTTCACATATTGCATTTTGATGTATTTGCTTTTAATGATCATGCGGATATCGCTTTCTGCAATTTCCTAGTTACACTCTTTGTGCAATGTTCTGCTGTCACCACCAGGCCCAGCATGGAAATGAGATTAAGAAGGAGAAAAAGAGTCAGAGGAAAGTCACAGCTTAAACATATATTCATGCACTGCCGGGCATATGCTCCAAAAGCCCAAGTTTAAAGCAGTATTGAAATTGTACTAACACAATTTCTTTCTTTCTTTCTTTCTTTCTTTCTTTCTTTCTTTCTTTCTCTCTTTCTTTCTCTTTCTTTCTTTCTTTCTTTCTTTGAACTAAGGTTAACAGGTCTAACTTACACAACATTAAAAAAAATATTTAAAAGCATGATGGCTAAATGGAATGTTCCTTCAGAGAGGCGGACTAGGGTTGTAGTTCAGTGACAGAACACCTGCTTTGCATACAGAAGGTTCCAAGTTAATAGTCAGCATCATGTCTGGTGTTGACCTATAAAGCCTTAAACGGCTCAACACCACTTGCATGTTAAGCACAGTACATTGTGGAAGTGAGGCGTGAAAGTGAGAAATGGAAGTGAGCACAGAAAGAAGAAAACCATGGTACACTTGCATTGACACGACTGGATACCTTCATCTGTCCCATATTTCTTGATCAATGACCAGCATGCTGGCTAGGGCTAGGATCATGGAGTTCAACCACACAGGGGACCAAGCTTTTGGGAAGGCTGGTTTAAATCATGATCCCCACCCCCTTTGAATTACTGTGCTTGTGATTGACAACATTCTCACTCAAAATACGATGGGTGCAAGTAATGGC